CCCGGCGGGCAGCACATCCAGGGGTCTTGCTCCCTGGCCGTGGGCCTGAAGAGGCATGGCGTTCCAGGAAGCATCCGCCCCCCTTTGCAGAGGGGTCAGCTCTAGTGCCCACCCTCACTCCCAGTCTTCTAAAGTGCAGGACACTTCTGCAGTGTGATGGGATCTGTGGGGGACCGGGAGATTGGGGTCACTAACCCCAGGCTGGAAGAGGTGGACTTGTGCTGCCTTGGGAGGTGCCACCGGAGAGACCCTGAAAACTTCCAGGAGATACGGAAACCTGTCGGGGCGCAGCGCGTGGAGGGGATAAACCCGAGAGCCCACCAGAGGAGCACACGCCCTGGACAGGACATGCGCCAGCAGGGCGGAGGCAGGGCGCAGCTGGGGGGCTCCATCAGGAAACTCGGCCCTGGCCCTTCCACGGCAGGAGGGAAGGGGCTCAGTGTGTGGGGGCCCAGGGCTGGGGGGCCTTGGTTTCCCCCCTTGCCTGACTGCAGAGACTCCAGCGTCTGACCCCGGCCCCTGCCCCGCACAGCAGTGTGCCTTGCTCTGCTGCCACTAAAGACCTGTGACTGTCCTCACCAGGGACGGGTGGCTGAGGCTGGACTTGATGGAAAGCTGGGCAGGCCGCTGCAGGCCTTGCGGGCCCTGTGTCGGGGGCGTGCAGTCGCCCAGCCCAGTCACCCTGCGGGCTGCACCTGTGAGGAGAGACGGGGCCTGAGCCCGGCTCCTCTTCCCGGGAGCCGTGTGCTTTGAGGGAGTCTTAGGGAGGGGACCTGACCTCTGACGTCGGTGAGGAGGGGCCAGCCGCAGTGGGGGCTTTCCATGTCCCATGAACAACTGGACCTCACGCGGGTGTGGTCAGGAAGCCGGTGTCAGCGGGCGGCCGTCCTCCGTAGCGGGGTGTGTGGCTGGAGGGAGGATCCCTCACTGTCGACCATTCCCCTGTTTTAGTCAGCTGTTTCGCTGTGTGCCTAAAAGATCGGCCGTAACAGTTTTAGGGGAGGAAAAGTTTATTGAGGGATTCACGGTTTCAGAGGTGTCAATCCGTAGACAGCAGACTCCATTCCACGGGGCTCAAAAGAGGCTGAAGGCTGTGGAGGAAGAGTGTGGTGGAGGGCAGCTCCCATGATGGTCAGGAAGCAGACTCCACTCACGGGCACGAACTCTCCACCCACAGCCACACCACACCTCCTCCGTGACCAGCTAGTCCCACCAGGGACCGAATCCCTGACTGGGTGGGGCTCTCACAGCCCGGGGCTTTCTCCTGTGAACCGTCTTGCATTGCCTCACCTGTGAGCTTTTGGGGCACCTCACATCCAAACCATGACAGCCTCAGGGAGGTCCCATGGTGTGAGTGACCTCCATGACGCTCCTGTGACTTGGGCAGTTCCCTGGGTGGCCCTTATGCTCCACCCCTGCTCACACAGGGCACCTCTGCCCCAGCAGGGACTCCTGGTGGTCCTGGGCCCTGGAAGCACGTCCTCCCGTCAGCAGGCATCTGGCTGGCCTAGATGACCTAGAAAGTGGATGTTCACATTAGAAGACTGAGCCTCGGCCACTGTGGGAAAGTCATCTCAGAATGTCCCCTGGCTTTGCTCTCAGGCTTCTGGGACCGCTTTTCCTGCCCTGCCTGTGGGAGCAGGGGTGGCTTCCAGACAGGATGTCTCCAGGGACTGTTCCCCGCTGGGAGTCGCCGTTCTGCCTCCTGCCTGTCCTGCTCCAGGGCATTGGGAGGAGAGGCTGGACAGGACAGGCCTCACAGCACCGTCTCCTCCCTCGGTGCTGTTCTGCCAGCCCCTCCCTGCGTCTCACAGCCACACCTGGCACCAGCAGGTGTGCACTTTGTACCTCGCGGTGCTCCTTCCCACAGGGCAGGTCCTGGCCAGTGTTTCCTTGGTGAGCACCGTGTCCTTGCTCTCTGAGGAAGCCATCCTGGGAGCAGGCAGGAGGGGCGGGCGCTGGGGAGGGGACGCTGGTGGTGCCAGGGACGGTGACTGTGGAACTCAGGAGGGGCCAAGTCCTGGAAGGGGCGACGTACTTGGGGGGTCTGGGAAGCAGTGCCTGTCCTGCTGGGCAGTGCCTGGGAGGGGTGGCTGCAGCAGCGGCTCCCCTGTGCACCTGGTCCTGCACTCTGCCTCCGCTGGGAGTGGACTGGCTCCAGCCTGGCCGCGGGCCCTGTGGTCCCAGGCTGGCGAGCCTCCAGGAGGCCGAGGAAGCCGCCTGCAGAGGGTCCCGCGGGTGTTGGCACTGCCACGGCCCGGCAGCCCCTGCTTCCATTCACACAGGGGTCCATTCAGCCCACATCCAGAATTTCCCAGCTGTTGCAGGGGTTTCCATGGAAACAGGCAGTGCCCGTGAGAAAAGGGAAGCCCAGAGACCTCCTCACAGAATTTAAAGTACTTGAAATCCACTACTAGGTGCTGGACTTCGGCTCTAACAAAATCTTGAGTTTCAGGTGTTTATTGGTCAGTAAATTTTGACCATAAAATAGAACAGCTCTCTCCTGGACTGAAGTAACATTTGGACAGCCTCTGCACCGTGTCCCGCCCTGCCGTCCTGCCCCTGCTGGGAGGGTGCCCACCTGCTGCCATGGTGGCACTCGTTTGCACGATATTCATGATGTATGTGTTAGTTAAACAATGATTCACACTCACTGTCCATTTGATCCTCAGAGCAGTGCTAGGAAGCAGACAGGAAAAATGGTTTCGTCCCTCTTTACAGAGAGGAAACAGACCAGGGCCAGAGGGTTGGTTCCAGCAAGTTCTGAGCATGGATGCCTGAGCCTCGCTGTGGAGAGAGTGGCCGGCCCCTGGCCTGCGCTGAGCGAGTCTGGTTCCGACATGTGTTCCCTTCCGACATGTGGCTTCTCACAGAGACGTTTGGTGGGAGAAGGAAACGTCTGCAAATCAAGCACAAATGCTGGACTCCTGACTGCCCCCCAGACACAGTTGCCAAGAAGACGCTTCCCTTCTAGCTGACCTCACGCTCGGAGGCGGAGCAGGAGGGGTGAGAGCAGGTAGCCATGCAGCACGGAGCCCTGTGCAGATGGGCGCAGGGTGAGGTCTGCCTGTGCCTTCCTGCCCAGGGGGTGGGAGACGCTGTCCTCCAGAACCCAGGGCGCACCAACTAAATACTGTGCCAATGTAAGTGCACTGGGTGGGGCAGAAGACGAGGGGGGACACGTCAAACAACACGTGGCCTTGGAACGGGCCCGTGGGCGGCGGCTCCTGGTGGAGCTGTTCCCTGGGCTGACCCAGGGTGCCACACACAGCCGCACATGTGCTAACGCTCCTAGAGCTGGACACCACATGTAAAAGGTCAGTTTTATTGAACGATAATTGTAAAGGTAACATAAAGTAGATGTTGGAAAGTTAATAAAGTTAATGTAGCTTTATTAATTTACTTTATCAATGTATTGTAGTTATGTTTATAGAGTTTATCAAAAGTTCATAAATGAAAGGAAATATATGCGATAATATAAAATATCTATAAGCATTCTGTAAGGGAAGATTGTTAAAAAGTTAGTACTTGTATAAAGTCACAGGGATAGATTTGTCCCCTTTTTTATGAAGCTTCATAATACTTTAGAGGCAACTAACGTGAGATTTCATCTTGAAAACCAGGCCTGCCCTATGGATAAACCCCTGTAGTCACACCCTTAACCTAAGTGCCCACAAAGTGAGGACTGCAGCCTCCTCCCGTGTAAGCAGTGATGCACTTAGATACAGGGGACTATGACGTGTGTATGGTGGACATGAACCCATCTCGTTGGCCCTCACGTACACTGTGCATTGACGTGCTGTAGGACGGGGAGCCATGTCCAGGGGCCTACGGAATGTTTATGGTGGACGTCCGTAGATCTTGTTGGCCCTCACGTACACTGTGCATCTGACGTGCTGTAGGACGGGGAGCATGTGCAGGCGCCCAGGCTGGTTGCACATCGGGACCCTTTTTGGAAACCATTACAGATGTCAAGGCGTCCATGGTAAAGCTTCCAACCCAGCTGTGTCCTTTTGCATAGGACTATGCCCAGGCAGCACCCTGGGGACCCAGGCACCAAGGCACCGCTCCCCTCTCAGCCACACGAATCCCTTCTGCCTGGATTTGAGTCTGGCTCCTTCCCTGGGTAGCAGTGTGAGCTAACACAGTCGATTTACGTGGACGTAGAGAAGACTGATGTCACCACCCCTTGGTCTACGCATGGGCCTTGAGTGTCGTTCTGAGTTCCAGTCCTTCCTGTTGTACATTTGTGGCCTTGGGCAGTTTCAGCTGGCCTGGGGAACGGGGCCTGCTCTGCCCACAGGCTGCTGTGGGACTCAGTGCCACAGAGTCGGGGTAGCACTGCAGCCCACCCAGCCTCAGTAAGTGGTGGGACGGCCGAGTGGACACGCACAGCCCACCGCCAGTCAGCGCAGAAGACCCACGGCCTCCCTGAATGTTCTGTTTCCTCCTCCCCCTCACTTCAGGGAGGATCACAGGGGATTCTCTGGGGTGGGTTGGCCCCAGAGACTAGAAATTTGGTTCAGATTTAAAATATTGGAAGTGACAAAACACCAGTCAAACCAAAGCGTGAGACATCCTGTAAAATAACCCACAGTGTCCTCCACAGCGGCAGGTCACGCTCCTTGATCGTGACAACCTCGTGGTGCAGGAGCCTGAGGTGGCTCCCAGGCAGGGGATGGTGCTCTTGGGAAACCAGTGACATTTGAACAGGGGGATCCGTTGGCAGTGGTGTGTGTGCCTAGTTTCCACCCCAGGGAAGGTGGGCGAGGGGCACTTGGGGGGACTCATCGTGCCATTCTCTTCTATAAGTCTAAAATATCTCAAAGTAAGAATTTAAAAGAGATTTTAAAAATACTAAACTCTTGACGATGCCCACTTTTAAAAAATTCAAGGTTAACCTCCAACTTAAAATAATAAATAGAATCTACCCGTGTTTCTTTCCAGCACTGCAGTAACGGGCTGTGGGACCGACCCTCTTTTTCTTGCTTGCTTTGTAGACAAAGTTTACATGGGGCCAGGACAGCTGTGTCAAGATCTGGAACACCTGCTGCACGACCTGAATGTCGTGGGCCAGATTGCTCAGCTGATGGGAAACCTTAAAGGGAGCTATCAGGTAGGTGGGGCGCACTGGAGCTCTGTCGGGGGTGTGGGTGTCTGCAGGTCTGCCACGGCGACTGCGCGCTTGACTCACCGCGTGGCCTGTTGTGCCTTTCCCTTGGTTGGGTGGCCGGGCTCCGCTGTAGCTCGTGTGCATCTAGCAGTGCGCCAAGGTCAGGTCTGCTGGAGATGCCTCGCCGTGCACGCTGGTCCACTCTGAATGTCCTGCTCAGGTGGGGCGCTTTGGGCTTCCCCGAATGTTCTGTGTTGCAACTTGGCTTTTCCTCCGCCTCCTCCATGTTTTTTAAACTCTTTTAAAATAAATGTTCCCTCTGTAGAACTTAAACCAGTCCGTAGCCCATGATTGGACATCAGGTTTACAAAGACTGATTCTGAAGAAAGAAGAAGAAATCAGAGCTGCTGACCGCTGCAGAATTCAGCTACAGCTCCCGGGGAAGCAGGACAAGTCAGTGACGTCAGAGAGCCCTCCTGGGCGGGGTGGGTCTCTGTCCCCGGGTGGGTGCTCTTGGCTGGTGCCTGGTGGAGAAGGGCGTGTGGCGTGCCTTCTGTAGAGTGTGCGTCTGTTGCTCCTGGCAGGTCTGGGCGGCCCACTTTCTTCACGGCTGTGTTCAACACATTCACACCTGCCATCAAAGAGTCCTGGGTCAACAACTTGCAGATGGCCAAGCTCGCCCTGGGTAAGATGGGGCTCGCCGAAGCTGACCTGGGTGTGCTGAGAAAGCCACGCACCCCGCTGGTTGTCCGCTGTGGGCCTTTCTCTGCCGAACTCCCAGTCTCAGAGGGTAAAATCAGAAAGACAGAGAGACTTGGTGATAGTCCCCCATTGGCCTGGAGGAGTGTTTTCAGACGTGTGATCTTTAAGAAGTGTGTGTGGTAATTTAGGGGTTGCAGGAAGGAGGCTCGGCTGCCCTTGGAACCGGACTCCTGGCACTCGGCTTTTGAGCATGAGGTGGCCCAGTGTCTGAGGCCATGGTCAGAGCGCCGGCCTGGTGTGGGCATCTCCCAGGAGCAGGCGCCGCCCGGGCTCTTCTTTCTGCCTGCCTGCTGTCCCCTGTGGCGACACACGAATCCTGAGGGCCTGCCGTGGATCTGCGTGGCTTGATGACTATTTTCTGGTTCCTCTGTCCCTTGGCCACTCATGTGGCTCACCACACAGACCTGCTGTGCAGACACTGGGGTGTAGATGTGTGTGAGACGCTCCTCCAGATCAGACTGTCAGAGACACCACGGAACCAAACAGAAGGGACACCTGGGGTCTGCAGGTGGACACTCATCCCCTGGGGAGTTGGGGGGCAGGAGGCAGGGGCTTCCTGCCGTGGTGGGGCTGTACCCAGGGCAGACGGCCCACTGCTCCCTTTCTCCTGAGGTGGCGGTGTGCCAGGTTGGGCTCAGAGTGACCACACATGGGAGACGGCCACTCTGAGGGGGGGAGTGGACGTGAAGATCTTTGAGATGGTTCTTCAAAGCCAGGACGGACCTTAGCTGCAAACGTGTCTTCCTGGTACCGTCCTCCTTCACCCGCAGTGTCAGCCCCACCACGTCCCTGGTGTGTGACGGTGGCCCTCCAGGGGACTTTGAACATGAAGGGTGAAGGAGGCAGCCTGAGGGAGAGCGCGTGGGCATTCAGCAGGCGGGGCCAGGGCTCTCGCTCTCTGGGACCCCGAGTGCTGTGCCCGCTTTAGGAAGAGGAGGTGCTGCCACCCCGAGCAATGCTGGTGGCTCAGGCTCCTGAGCAGCAGAACGGGGGTGTCGCGTGGCAGCTCCTGGGACTGAGCGCCACTCTCTGAATGTAACGCAGAGGAGGAGAACCACCTGGGCTGGTTCTGCATGGACGACGAGGGCAGTCACACCAAGAAGGAGACGCACCCTCTCCTCGTGGGACACATGCCAGTGACGGTGGCCAGGCAGCCAGAGTTCAAGGTACACGCGCTGGGTTGGCTGCCTCTCCTGCAGGCGTACCTGGGATGGCTGGGAGGGTGTGGTGGGGCCGTCCTCTGGGCCAGCCACCGCTGCTGCTTCTCCCGAGGGTGAGTCAGAGACGTCTGAGACCACAGGCCTGAGGCCGAGGTCGAGTCTTGGCTCTTGTCCCCAGTGTGGCCCTGCAGGTCCCTGGAGTGGGAGGGCCTCTGGACGGCACAGGACGGCACAGGACTGCACACTGCTGGTGCCAGGCCGGCCTGGTGCCCAGTGAAGCCCGCGAGCACTCGTCAGGTTCCACTTCCTTGGCTCGGGCAGGCCGTGTTCCTGAGCGCTGGGGACTCCTGACCTGCCGTTCCCTTTCCCCTGGCTGGTCCCCGGCCACGCTTGGCCTGAGCGCTCAGGGGTTCACTTCTAAAATGTGAGCACAGGGCTGACAGTGGCCTGGGTCTGCTGGGCTCCCTCAGCAGGGGTCCTGCTGACCAGCCTGGAATATGTTTCGGAACAAAGCTGCATCTGCACCCTGTGGACAGATCTATCTCCTTGTCTTTGTTCCCTGAAGAGTAGAACAGAAAAAGCATCACGCGGTGTGCTGTCAGCCCCTGACCGCCGTGCCCAGAGGCCTAGAGGAGGTCTCATGGGTCCAGGCTGTGGTCAGCTGAGGCAGAGCGCATGGCAGGAGGGTGTGTCCAACGAAAGCAGCTCCGGACACGGCCGCAGGGAGCAGAGAGCTCTGTCCCCAAGGACCCACCTGCTACTGCCCACCTGCCTGCAGCTGCCACCCAGCTGTCCCCTGTCAGGGGATTAGTGCCCAGTAGGGTCAGGCTTCCCTCCTTCACTTGTGAACGTTCCTGCACTGTCTCACGTGAGCCTTGGGGGACACTTCATGTGTCGACCAGGACGTGTGGTGGTGACGTTGCGTCAGTATCACAAGTGCCTGAGCAGATGTCAAGCGTGGAGGCTGCGCTGGGCTGTCTGCAGGGGAGAGGCTGGAGCACCCAGTCTCCCTGGGTGAGGAGGGAGGGCTGGGCCTCAGTCGCCTGCCCCTGCTGTTCTACTCTGAGAGGCAGGACCCTGAGTCTGTGGTGGTGTTAAAATGTAATCACCAGCTGGAGTCCCCCTGACGAGTGCTTGCTGTGATTTGGTGTTTTTAGATAGAGTGTGCTGCCTATAATCCCGAGCCTGACCTCAATCACGAAGGTCAACCCGGTCCATCCCCCGCAGCGCGTGGCTTCCTGTGGGTAAGGTTCTTTATTTGTACTGCAAGTTCACCTAGAATCGGCGCCCACAGTCGTGTGAAGTTCAGATTTGAGCAGCTCAGAAGGGTGTCAGTCCCAGCACGCCCAGGTGATGGCCACAGACACAGAGCCTTTCTCTGATGGGAGCCGATGACTCTGGGGAAAGATACGAAGTTCTAGGAATTAAAATGTGTATTTCTGCCCTTTTCCATGTAGAACTGTTACAAGATCTAATTTCATCCAGACTCGTGTAAGAGCCATTTTACTATTTCTTGCCTGTTGGTGGTTGGGTTAGAAGGACTTTCCTTGTTTCCAGACATTGGTGCCTTTTTACCCTGGAGACTTGGCCCTTGGAATTAATTTGTTCCAAGTGAAGCACAGCGTCTAACATTACCCTGCATTTGCAGTGGCCCTTCCTAGTTTGTGCAAATGGAGGACAGTCCTCAGGCGCAGGGTCTCAGGTCCACCCTCAGCCCGAAGCCCGCTCTTCCCAGCTGGACTGTGGTCCAGGGTAAGGCCTTGCTCGCTGCAGGCAGAGCTCCTGCCCGAGTGGTGTTCCTAGCCGTGCTGTCAGCGCAGCGGCCGGGCTGGCTGGCATCTCACAGCATCTGTGAAGGAGAGCAGAGGCGTCATCGCCTTGGGCATGCAGGTTTCCCGCCCACAGGGATCTGGGCTAGCTGGGGGTTTTCTCCTCTTCTGGCGACACCCCACTCCCCAGGGCTGGCACAGGGACGCCGCAGTTGGTCTTCCCTCCCCGACAGGGCAAAGGAGGGTTTCGTTGTAATGTGGAATAGGAGGTCTAAGAACATGCTCAAATCGGTGGGGAAGAAAGGGTCCGTCATCAGGGCCAGCCTGGCTCTCTTGGATTGGCCCTTAGTAGGGACCCGTCCTTGCCCCATACACAAGCTGGACTGGAGCTGCAGTTGGAAGACCGAGTCTGCCGCATATTCTCAGGGACTCACTGTAGCAGGTGCACGGATGCCCTTCTGGTGCAGGTCTTCAGAGGGCTGCACACATGGGGGACATGAGAAGGGATGGCCCACCCTGGGACATATTCTTTTTTATTTTTGAGTCTTGTTTTCTTAGCTGAGGGCTGTGAAACTCCAACGTTGACTTACTTAAGATGGATATGATTTGCCCTTCAGGTCTGTGTGAATAGGTCTTTGCCCTTGTGTAGTGACGAGTGGGTGTGTGAACACAATACCTTTATTTACTTTTATGTGGAGCTGAGGATCGAACCCAGTGCTGAGCAGCACTCTACCACTGAGCTGCCACAGCAGCCCTGGGTGTGTGGTTTTTAATGCATATCTTTTTAAAAACAAACTTATCCCCTGTTATTGCATATTTAAAGACCCAACTTTGTTGAAGGGCCAGGGGCCTGGGAGCAGCTGGTTCAGAGGCAGACTGCTTTGTGAGGGGTCGATCCTCACAGGAGGCTGCCTTTCTTCTGGGAGTCCCGGGGTTCCCATGCACCCTCACTCTCTTTTTCTTAACTCCCTGATCAGATTGGAAGCTGTAGTGACCAGATGGGTCAGATTGCCATTGTCTCCTTTCACAACTCCACCCCCAAAGTCATCGAGTGCTTCAACGTGGAATCCCGCATCCTGTGTATGGGGTACATTCCTGCCGAGGAGCAGCAGCGGGAGTCCAGCAGCATCGTGGACCCTGAGGCCCAGGCCACCAGAGCATCTGAAGTGCCCACCATCTGTGTGGGCACGGAGGAGGGAAGGTAGAGGTCACGTGGGGTGTGGCAAGGTCGCCTCAGCTGTGCCCAGACACCTAGGGCCCATCCTGGGAATAGGCGTTGGCGTGAGCGTCGGGCAGCAGGCGGGAATGACAAGATCTGGGGAGAGGGATAGGTCTCTGCGCTCTGAAGTCACCAGTGATTGGGCCCTGGGAATTATTCTAGGAGACCCCAAAGAACAATGGAAGTTTCACACCTGCTGTTGGTCCCTAAGGTACTCATTCTTATGCTTTAAAAGCACACCACTCCTGCATTTTGGAATAAAATAGCTATTTTTCGGTGTTATGATTGCGTTGAACGTTGACATCCTTTAGTGGAAAGTTAAAATGATTTTCCTGATGTGAAGTTCTAAGCCATAGGAAGATCTAATTATTTTTAAGACCTAGAATTTCTATTTTTAATATAAAAAAGAAATCAGAGTGCTGCAGACCTGTTGGAAATGCAGCCAGTGTGTCTCGGAGCAGGAGGTGGGCTCAACAGGGAGCAGGACAAGGAGATGGGCACCCTGGTGTCAAGGGCGCGGGGCCTTCTGGGCGGGGGGGGGGGTGGAGGGGCAGTGTGCAGACTAACTCGTGTTTTTCTTTTAAAGCATTTCCATTTACAAAAGCAACCAAGGCTCCAAGAAAGTGAGGCTTCAGCACTTTTTCACTCCCGAGAAGTCCACGGTCCTGAGCCTGGCCTGCTCGCCGCAGGGCTTGTATGCTGGCCTGGTCAACGGCTCGGTGGCCAGCTACACCAAGGCTGCAGGTACCGCGCTCCCTCCAGACCACTCCTGGGGTCATTTCCGTCCCACCTTCCCTTGGCGCCTGTCACCTCTGGTCCCAGGCTTCTGTGACGTGTTCCTTCTCAAAAGGCGTCCGTGGGACACGTGGGCTCCATGCTGCGCAGTGTGCTCTCCTGGAGCCCACCCGGGGCTCCGTCCACTCCGCCCACCCTGCCCACTGCACCGAGGCCCCAGCCTCTCTGCCTCCCCTGGCAGCTCCATGTGGTGCTTCCAGCCTCCTCCTGCCCCAGCAGGGTCCTTCCTGCCTCTGAGGTTCTTGGTCCTCCTCCGGGCCCCTCAACCTCCAGCCCTCTTTGCCACCTGTCCACCTTTAACTGGCAGTTCTGTGGCTCTGGGGCAGCAGAGAGGAGCGCTGCCTGGCCTCGGGGCCCTCGCAGCCTTGCGGATTGCCCAGCCTGGGCTCCCTGTCTCCCGTCTTGTCCTGCTAGCAGCGGGAGCTGGTGGGGGTGCGTGTGCAGTCCAGCTGCTCTCCCTGTCCGTTGGCCTTCTAGAGCCTGTAGCGTCAGCACAGCACCACTGTCCTAAGCCCTTCTCTCACGACCTCCACTGTCCCTTCTCTGGGAACCCTGTTCCTGGGCTTCCCGGCCCTGTGCACGGCTGCTGGCCAGGTCCCCCCTGGCTCCTCTCATGCAGGGATAAGTGCAGACCTGCTGTGCTGCAGCCAGGAGCCCACCCTTCTCTGCCCCGCCACTGCACTGCCACCCCAGACCCACACCACTGCCCACGGGCTGGCCTTGTACCCGGGCTCACGTGCCCAGCGCCCTTTGGTGCTTCCCCTGCCCTGAGGGATTTCAGTGCAGCAGAGGGCTTTCCTCCAGCAAAGGCTGCTCCCACCAGGAGGGGCACCGTCCTGCAGCCAGGCTCCGTGCCCCTGGGGATTTCCCTCCTGTCCTGTGGCCCACCCTCCAGCACCTCTTGTCCCTGCTCCTGGACTTGCAGCCAGCCCCCACCATCACCACCTGCTCCAGGAGGCCTTGCGCCCACGTGGGTTCCTGTGTCACCTCTGTCTTCGTCTTGCACTCCTACGGTCTGCCCTCCCCGCGTTCGCTAGTGAGCTTTTAAAACTGCCAATTAGACCTTGGCCCTCTGCTGCATAAAGCAGTCAGGGATTCCCCGTGTGCTGGGAATGCAGTCCCGGTTCCCGCCCTGGCCCGTGAGCCCCGCTCCCCTGCAAACCCCCCTTTGTTAGCCCTGGTCCTGCTCAGAGTCTGTCCCTCCTGGAGGTCTGCACCAGCCTGAGCCCAGGCACAGGACTACCTTGCACTTGGCCTCTGACCTTCCTGAGTCGTTTCCATGGCCAGGGGCTGCATCGGGCCCTTCCCCCACAGTGGGAATTCCCTGGAGGGTGGAGCCCCCTCATGCCACCCTAGGTGCAGCAGGTGGAGTGATGCCACAGGTTCAAAGTGTCAGTAGTTTGTGCATGGACTGTGACTGGTGTGGGTGGACTGAGAGGCCTGGCCTAAGGCACAAATGCAGGGGGAGCTGTTGCCAGAGGCGGTCCTGTCGGCCCAGATTCACGTTGCACGTGGCCCCCCATGGAGACAAGCCTACAGTATCTAGAAAGAGTAGCTAAGAGGCTCAGAAATCAGAGTTCAATTGTGGGAGCTGATCCTCAACCAAGGTAAACGTCTGGAGTATCCCACCTCTGACCTTTGGGGTCTTGTTTCAAAGGTGGCTTGCTCTCAGTGGGTCAGTGCAGTACCATCCTGGACGGCTAGTGGGCAGAAGCCACTTTGCCCTCAGGAGCATGTGAAAGTCAGAGAAAACCTGTCCATCTGAACTTCCGTGTCCCATCATAAGGAGAGGCTGCATTGCTTTCCAGGATGGGAAGGCCTGTGCATGCATGTGTAAGGGCATGTGCGTGTGCAGCCATGTGCACTGTGGGTGTGCATGTGTGCTTCCATGTGTGTATATGTGAGTGGGAGGGTGTGTGCGTTGTGTTGGTGTGTGTGCATACGTGTGTGTACTTGTTCCTGTGTGTGCAAGTGCACGTGTGCACGTGTGAATGAGAAGGAATGTGTATACATGTGTGTTAGTGGGTGTGCACGTGTGTGTGTGCGCCTGGGTTTGTGTTCAGATGCCTAATTGCACTGGACCTGGTGCAGGTGCAGAGTGAAAGGCAGGCCAGTGTCCTCGGAGGCTGTGGGTGCCCTGAACACATTCAGCTGCGTCACTGCGTGGAGTCCCCATGGCAGTCAGAGCCACAGCTTGCTGGCAGAGACTGCACAGCTCAGCTTCAGACAGGTGCCCACAGTAAGCTGTGGAGCAGGGCGTCAGTGCTCGGCACCAGAGCACAGGGTAGAACCAAGACCTGGTTCTCTGAACGACGTGTGCTGCCTTGATTGATGTGAGGCCGAAGGCAGGGAGGCAGTGACACTTCAGTTACGTTTTTGAGCATGGTGGCTTAATTAGTGGCTAGACCGAGAATCAAAGACTTAGTTTTCATCATTTACAGGGTAATTACATCAGTCACTTTAAAATCTGTAGTAAGTCTTGCTTGAAGTAATTTCTATTGATAAGTTTCTGGCTCATACTTCATGTGAAGTGTGATAGACCTCATTGTAGATCTTTGAAAGTATTTTCAAACCAAAACGTATTCCCTGAGTGTCAGGACAGGGAGCAGTGTAAGAAGACAGGAAAGCATTCACTTCTGTTTGGATTGTTTTTCACGTTCAGTGAAGGTGCAGTTTCTCCTCCAGATGCCGTGCATATCTAGCAGATGATGGGAAGCTCTAAACGTTTGCTCAGTTATTTTGAATGCAGCTCCTTCCAGCCACGATCACATCACAGTAGTGTTGCTTGCCCCTCTTGCCCCCTGGGTGCTGTGCTAAGCTTTTTACATGCTTTATCTTGCTTATGATTCTCCAGTCTTCGAGGCATCGTCCCCACTCTACAGATAAGCCATCTGAGGTTCAGGGCAAATGAGCCATTTGTTTGCCACACCCCCCTCTGGGCCCTCGCCTGTCTTCCTCACACAGACTCCCTGATGGCATTGATTCTTGAGGCCATGGGCACACCCAGAATTAAGCATAAGCATCAAAATTGCTGTGGATATTTTGGTTGTCTGTTATTTAAAGTGATCTATGATCCTGTTTATTTGCCCCTGTGCATGGTTACCTGAACTCAAATGAAATTAAAAGAAGTGTTTTCTTTTAAGATGGATCCTGGAATTCAGAACCTCAAAAAGTGATCAAACTGGGCGTCCTGCCAGTTAGAAGCCTCCTGCTGATGGAAGACACCTTGTGGGCAGCATCTGGCGGTCAGGTGTTCCTCATCAGCACAGAGACTCATGCTGTGGAGGTGAGTCCTTTCAGGTGGCTGCGTGGCGTGGGGAAGGCATTTCAGAGCAGGGTTCCTGGTGGGACACCGTGTGCTGTGCAGAGCCTGGGGGCTGCGTGCCAGAGGAGGGGAGTGCCTGACGGGGCCGGTGACCGAGCGCTCTGTGGTGGTTCCCTGGGCACAGCAGCAGCTGGCACCTCGTGGCCTGGCCCTCCAAAAAGTTCCACTCTTACATGGCTTTACTGTCAAGGCCTGTGCCCAGCTGTCCTGTTTACCCACGACCATCTCTCACCCCGTCTTTCTCTAAGCAAACACAGGGCACACGGGCGTTTTTCTCAGCCATTAAAATGAATCTCGTCATGATTACACCTTCCTTTAATGCTCACATACAAGGTCGTAGAAAATCTGTCCAGATAGGTGAGGGTCCAGCACCTGTCTGAGGACATGGTCCATTGACTGTGTAAATAGCTGCAAGTTTAGAAACAAACCTGGGTCATTATCGACCTCTCAGGATGTTGTCCAGAGGTTTCCTAGGGGGTGAATCAGCTCCCCGGGTGGGGACCAGGCCACTCTCCGGTATTTCGGGATGAGCTCTTGTGGCATGTTCTGTAAGTGCAGAGGGAAGTGGAACTTCGGCTCCCAATAAGGAGAACTTCTTTTTGTGTGTGTGTGCTGGTGATGAAACCCAGGGCCTTGTGCATGCTAAGCTGTGCTCTGTCGCCGAGCTACACCGCCAGCCCGGAGCATCCTCTGAGTTGTGATGCAAAGCTGGAGAGTTGCTGGCATAGTCAAGTTCTTGAGAACAGGTGTGGATGCCGTCTCCAGCGCTGCAGGGGATCAGGGCCTGGTTAGAGCCACGAGGTTCCTGGTCGGGGTCCTGGACAGACTCAGGCCTGATTTCTTCCCTTGGGCCACCACTAGCCTTCCTGTGTTTTTCTGCTTGGTATTTTTGGTGCTGTGGCTTGTTCAGTGTACCAAGACCAGTCAGGGAAGCGTGGCCACCAGGAGCCCCTGAGCTGTGTCATCCCAAGAGTCTTGTAGTCCAGCCCCACGCGGCCTTCCTACGGGGATGTCAGAGGCCAAGGGAAGGCAGCGCCGTTAAAGGACGCAGCGCCCAGAGCACAGCCCGAGAGCAGACTGGATGCCAGTTAGCACACGGCTCTGCAGCGTCTTCAGGGCAAGGCTCTGGCAGATTCAGAGTGTCAGCCTGACACGTCATCCCGGGGCGTTGTCATCGAGTGCAAGAGGAACTGCACCAGGCTGAGGCCCAGGGGTGCAGAATCTGGGTTCATTGTTGTGTGGATTTCCCTGGGCAAGGCCTGTGATATGACCTGGTGGCAGGGCCAGTGTGCCCCGTGTCCCGCCTCGGGCTCCTCCTCTTATAACCAGGTCCTCGGGGGGTTGTTAAGCTCCTGTGTCGTGTTCCTGGTATGATCTGGGATGCCTCCAGGTCCAGGTGCTCCTGATTCCATTGACAGTTGGGCAGGAGAAGGTTATTTGCCAGGGTGTGCCAGGGTGTGCCAAGGAAGGAAGGGCTGCGGACTTGTGCTTGGCTCTTCCTACCGTGGCGCTTGGGCCCAAGCAGAGCAGCTCCTGACAAGCCGCTGCAGTGTAGAATAGGGGACTCAGGGACAGGCACAGCCTGGAGACCGCTGCTCCTCACCGTGGAGGGACGCAGGCCACAGCCTGCTGTCCATGACAGGTCTGCCTATGTCGTCCTGTGCCTGGACAGGAGGTGGGACCTCTGGCTGACATAAGCCAGGGAGGAGACCGCCACTGAGTGTGCAGCAGGGCTCCCAGCAGGCACTCTGGGTATGGGATTTCAGGAGGACGGTCCACCAGAGTGGACAGCAGTGCTGGAGGCAGCTTGGGAGCTGTGCTAGGGGTGAGCTGCTCTTGGGATGAGCTTGCAGAGGAGGCTGAGGACGAGGCACTGGCCCCTCAGGGCAGAGGGAAGGGTGAATGGCCAGGCTCTGGAGCAGACAGGATGTCCGCCTGCACCACTCTGGAGAGCACACAGCTGGAGGCTCTGACCAGGCAGCTGGGCAGGAGGAAAGGGATGGCCCGAGGGTCGAGGTTGAATGGAGGAGGAGCAGGAGACCCTAAGAAGTCCACAGAAGATTACTACCACCCTGGAACAGAGTGAACAAGCCAGCAAGGCCACAGGTTCCAAGGCCAGTGCCCAGGAGTCCAGCAGATAACTGGCAGTGCTGAGAACAGCCATCACCAAGAGGGAGTACTTAGATACAAACCTGACAAAGAGTACAGCCATGTGCCCTGGAAACTAGCGGGAGACCCCGTGTAGATTGGAAGGGAGGGTCCCCAGGTGGCCGCAGCACCTGCAGATTGGGCAAGCAGATCCTAGCACTCAGTGGGAAATGAAGGGGTCCGGCATGGCCAGAGTAATGTGGGAAGGCAACAGAATTGGAGGACTCACACTGCCCAACTCAGCCTCTCCCTGAACAGCCGCCGTGACCAGGGCAGTGTGGCACTGGCTCAAGGACAGCGTGTAGACCAGGGAAGCAGAGCGCGAGTGCAGGAGCAAGAGCATGTTCCGACTGTGAACAACCCAGTGGCGGGGACTGTCTGCAGCCGTCGCCCTGGGCCCACGCCACATGCAAACGCTGATGTGGGTGGGTCAGACCCAGCAGAAGAGCTCCAACCATGAGCACTCTCAAAGGAAGCCGAAGGGCCAGTCTGGTGACCTCGGACCAAGCCACAGCTTCTAGGTAGGACTCCTGGCCAGGTGCCGTGGCCCGGCCTATGATTCCAGCAGGTGGGGAGGCTGAGGCAGGAGGATTGCGAGTTCAAAGCCAGCCTTAGCAACTTAGTGAGACGCCTGTCTCAGACTAAAAAGTGAAAAGCCATGCAGATGTACCTCAGTGATAGAGCATCCCGGGGTTCAAACCCCAGTACCCGAAAGAAAAGAAAGGAAGAAAGACGGTTGGGAGAAAGGAAGGGGTGGGCGAAAGGGAGGGAGGGATGAGGAGGGGAGGGAAGGAAGGTCAGTAGGGCTGGGGATATAGCTCAGTGGTAAAGCACCCTGGGGTTCAATCCCTAGAGCCACCAAAATATATATATATATATGACGCCTAAATCACAAGCAACTGTGTCAGTGGGAAAAGAGATAGATAAATTGGATTTCACTCAAATTAAAACTGTGCTTCAGGATACACAAGAAAGTAGAAAGAATGAGATAAAATGAATACAGCTCATGTGATATGATCAGATGTCCAGTTCACATAGCAAACCACAGTGGGCAAAGGAACTGGACAGACAGCTCTGCAGAGAAGCTGCCCAGGTAGAAGTCCTTGGAGAAAGGCCAGTGGAACCAGCCAGTGCTGCAGGCCCTGGGCATGTGGAGAAGGCACAGGGTCATGCTCTCCCCGGAGCAGGTTCCTTCCTGAGGAAGGGACACAGGTGCCCCCTGCTCAGCATTTCCTGTCGCCGGTGCATCCCCAAGAGAACTTCGTATTCACATCCTCGAAGTCCTGTACACGGTGAGCAAGCACGGTGTTTATTGGTGGTGTGAGTACAGCACAGATCCATCCAAGATGAAGGACAGACCACCTGGTCTCTGAAAGTGACGGGAGGTGTTCTGCCCAAGGAAGGGTGAGGTCCTGCCGCGCAGCACGGATGGGCCTTGAGGACATGTCCAGGAAGAGAGCCACACAGAGGCCACCGCCCTCATTCCATTCCCACGACAGAGCAGAGGGCCTAATCACAGTCGCCCCTGCCCTGCCCGGGGACCCCAGTGGGCAGTGGTTGGCTGCTGTGGGGTGGACACATGTGCAGTCTGTCCAGGGCACACTGGCAGGACGCGGTTTGCTCCCTATGGGGGCCAGCCCCCTGAAGTGCACACCTCCAGGCTTGTGATCCCAGCCCTGGGTGCCCAGCCTGGAGGCCGCCCCACACTGCCCTGGTCCTGGGGCTCTGCTGCTGTGCAGGTTTCCCAGTGAAACGCCTGTGGCAATGAGATCCAGCTGAACCAAGCCAGCCACTCAGTGCTGGCCAGGCCCGGCAGGGGCTCTGTGGCTGCTCTGTTTCAAGTTAGGGCTCTTCCAGCCCCTGACGAGGCCAGGGTAGCGGAGTGTCACAGGGAGTTCTTTGGGCACTTTGCCGAGGGTCAAGAGCAGTTTACCTGTGGTGTCCCACTGCAGGAAGACCCGTGGTTCCAGAGCATGGTCTCCTTGTCCCAGGTCGCTGAGGGGCTCCAGCTGGACCCTGCAGCCCACAGGAATCGCTCAGCTTGGTCTCCTGGGGTGGCCTTGGAGACTGCATGGAGCTTCGGCTCCAGCCACCTGACTCCTTGGCGTGGCCTTCTTTTGACCACCCCCTGCAGAGTCAGCTGGAGGCCCACCAAGAGGAAGGAATGGTCATCTCCCACATGGCCGTGGCCGGCGTGGGGATCTGGATCGCCTTTACCTCGGGGTCCACCCTTCGTCTCTTCCACACAGAGACCCTGAAGCACCTGCAGGACGTCAACATCACTGCCCCTGTGCACAGCGTGCTGCCAGGTACGGGCGGGGCCAGCAGGGGGCAGCCTACCCTGACCGATGGCCCCGAGCAGAGCCAGTCAGACCCCTGGGCAGAGTGGGTGGCGTGGGCGGCTGTGGGATTTCCCAGCATGTCAGCAGGCCCTGGGGAGCAAGGCCCTGAGGTCAGGAACACAGGAAGGAAGGAAGCCCAAGGTGCAGAGGTGCCCGGGAGAGTCGAGCATGGAGCAGAGGGGTCGCAGAGGGCAGGGAGGGCGTAAAGTGGAACTCTTTAGCCCCTGGCCAGAGGCCCGTGGATGCTGCTGGGGACTTGAGGATTGTTCTCTCTGTGTAGGCTCACAGCCCCTGGGTGTGCATGTTCTTCCTGTGCACAGGCATGTAGCTACTGTTGTGAGCACACGTGCTGTGTGAGTGTGGACCCGTGTGTGAGAGCTTGTGGCCTGTGTGCATGAGGTTTATGTGCGTGAGCATGTGACTAGCACACGTGAGCATGTGCCCTGTGGTATGAGTGTGCAGCAGTTGTGAGCGAGTGTGAAGCTGGTGTGGGCGAGGGGCCCGTCTGTAGCCTGTGCAGCCTGTGTGGGCGGGTAAGCGTGAAAGGACTGCAGCGCCCCCAGAACAGGACCGTGGGCTGTCATGGCCGTGAGTGGCCATGTTGTTGACCTGGGTCACTGAGGGCTCGGGATGGGAGGCAGCCCTTGCAGAGGGATTTGGAGACTGTCTGCAGGCGTGTAGAAAGGCAGCGGGAGGAACGGAGGGCGTCTCCTTCCAGGCTGCTTGCCCTGGACAGTGTGAGGGAGGACGGGAGCAAGAATGGGAGTGGGGGGTGGCGGGACGTAACTGGGCAGTGGGTACTGGAGTCGGTTCCACCTTGGAAAAGCACAGCTGCTGCTGAGGACGAGCGCCCCCCTCCGTCAGCGGCTGGCGACCGGCCTCCTGTGCTCGGTGGCGTTCCTGTGTGCTCCGGGACGTCGGCCTGGTTCCTCGCCCACGGAGGGCAAGTCGAAGCGGTCAGACCCTCTTGGGCCAGATGACTGGCAGTGTGCTCTGGGCGCGTGCGTGGGGTGGGGCGGAGGCTCGGTGGGCCTGGTGGGAGGGAGGGCTGGGCATGTTGTGGGGCGTTCCTGGGCTGGAGTGCTCCGGGGGCAGGGAGGGGCCTGGGGAGCTTCTTCGCTGCTGCCAGCTGCTGTGATGGAAATGCAGACGACCCCAGGCGGCTAATGAGGACAGGGCTGTGGCTCTGAAGGTCTGGTCACAGTGCGTGCGTGTCAGGCCCTGGGGAGAGCCCAGTCCTCGCTCCTGGATGTGTGCACACAGGCAGGAGGGAAGTGGGCTGTAGAGTCTGACCCCACACAGGACCCCCACTGGTGCCCCAGGCCCCATCCCCTCCTGGCCTCACCTCCTGAGGCGTCCCCTCATCGTAGGCGCTGGGCAGTGCACACGTCATGACCGCAGCAGTGGCCATTTATGATGTAAGAGATCAGTAATTGAGATTCAAGGCACACAGGGTCTCGCTCCACAGGAGGGATGGGGACAGGGCAGGGAGTGGGGCAGTGGAGGCCTGGGGACTGTGGGGGTGACGGCCTGGGGTGCCGTGGTGACGCTTCTCTCCTTGGGGCCAGCTGTGCAAATCGTCTTCAGGACGTGTAGAGGATACTTTTAGTGAGAAAAGCAAAGACCTGTGTAACGTAACGTGCATGTTTAGAGGAGTGGCTCAGCCCTGGCCAGAGGCATGTGGACGCGGTGGGGACTTGAAGATCGTTCTCTCAAGCACAGGCCGGGGGACAGGTGTTGGCTGGTGGGCCTGTTACTGTTGGGAGGAGACGAGTTGGATCTACCATTGCCCACACACCCACTCCTCTGGCTGCCGTGCCCAGGGCGCCTGGCGATGGGGCGTGGTGATAAAGGGCCTCCCGGGCAAGCAGCCACTGCGGCCATGGCTCCAGAAGCCTGAGAAAGAGCCACAGAAGTGCATGTGGCACAGCAGGCTGGGCCTGCTCTGCCTTGGTGTCTGTCCATCTCTCTGCTGAGACAGTCAGAAAGAAACCGAGGAAAGGAAGGCCCCGGCCGGTGTGGGCGGAGTCCACCTGTATGAAGCGTCTGTGTGCATGGCGTCCCAGAATCAAGGCAGGCCCGCCCAGGCTGCCCTCTCCTCTAGCCCTCCCCCGTCCCGGCCTGCCCCACCCCAGCCAAGGTGCCCACGAGGCCTTGTGGGCTCTGGGTTGCTGTCGCGAGGGGCAGGTTGCCTTCCAGCTCTGGGCTCCCCTGCTGCCTGTCCGCTGGGAAGGTGGCAGTCGAGGGCAGGCCGGCAGCACCGCAAATGCACAGTGGTCTGCTGTGCCTCTGCAGCCGGCTCAGGTGGTGTCCTCAGGGTGCAGCGTGAGCTTGTCCCCTCCCGTCTTGTGGTTCAGTGCCGCACCCTGGCTGGGCACAAAATAACCGAGCCGCCACACAGCCTTGTGGGTTCAAAACAGGAACTCCTTTATTCTCCGCACTCCCGCCACACACCAGCCGGAAATCCCTCCTCCGGCACTCCCCAACCAACACAAACTCCCCAGGAATCCCCAAAAGTAGCGGGCCAGGCGGACAGCAGGGGTCCGATATACAGTTGAACACACAGCTTAACATAACCATCATCATCTCAGGGGCCTTTCTGGCAATAATGCCATGCGTCATCCCGACGACTCGGCTGTGGCCCTCAACAGTTCAGAGAACACAAAGGCAGAGGGTCCGCTCTGCCGGGTCTGACTGTGAGCATGACTGTGTTTACGCTTAAGTGCTTGGTGTCTGGACTCCAGGAGGAATCACGACACACACCTGAGGGTGAGGCGAAAGTGCCTTTCTGTGCGTCCTAGGGATATAAAATTGAAGATGGCATGCAGATGAAGACAGGCCAACAAAGAACAGAATTTGAAGAAAAAGAGAAACAGCCACACCCCAGCCCAGTCTGTCCTTCCTTGAGATCGCAGCAGGCTCCGACTGCGGAGCATGGGGATACAGCCCCGTGAGCGGGGTCTTTGCCTTCTGTGTGGATCAGTTGTGGAACCAGTTAGCCAAGCTGCTTCGGTGGCACCCCCACCACACACACACCACGTGGTGCCGTCCAACAGGCGAGAGGACACAGTTTAGGACTGAGATGTGCATTTGTTGGGCTGGTCACAGGATGTCCAGCACAGGGTGAAGAATGGACAGCTGTGGACTTGAGGGCACTGTGCCTGCTCCAGGCCTTAGCCAGCCAGGGTCCTTTGCAGCAGGCATAGATGTTTCCTGCATTGTCCAGTCTACACAAAGCAGGACGTGTGGGTCACATGTAGCCCTTCCGTGTCCCTGCCGAGCAGATGTAGCCCGCAGAAGTGATGTGACCTAATAAAAGCACCAAAATTTCCATTTAAAGTAAACCCCAGAGCATGTTGAAGGACATTGAGCAGCTTAAACTGGGTGCCAGGTGATTGGTGTGCCAGGGACACGCAGAGCAGCTGGGTTTCCTCCTAGCGACTTGGCAGTGCCCGGGTCCTGGCATCCCCGGACACGGGCAGCAGTGCTGTCATGCCTGGCCCTGGGCCCCTTGGAAAGCGAATCAGCAGCCGTTCCCGGGGACTGGTCTCTGACCTGGTTCCTCAGTGCTTTCAAACCAGTTAGGAAAGAGAACCCAGGTTCTACCTGCTTCCACCTGGTCACTAACCCGAGCTCCAGCCGCGCTCTGCGGAGCCTCTGGGGCCCACGGCTGCTGGTCACCTCCCGCCCTCCTCCACCCGGCCTCCACCCTAGAGGCTGCGTGGGCCTGTGTGTTTATTCAGGAGACACTTCTGAATAAAGGGCTCCTTGGCAGAGGCCAGGAGAACTCCCAGGTGACCCGTGCCAAAGCTGAGGACTCAGGAAACTCAGTCGTCCTGAACGTGCTGCTCCCGACAGAGGGGCGGAGCCGGAGGACACGCGGCCAGCAGGAACAGGGAGGCTCCTCCTCCTGGTTGATGTGCTTTTTGTCAATGTTACAAGCACTTGTTGGAAATCTGACTGTTCAGAGGGGACTTTTTTTTTTTTTTATA